ATATATATGAAGCCAACTGACAGTGCCAAAGCTGCAGTTCCTTGAACGGCCACTTGAGGCTGGCTCCAGAAGAGAGCCAATCCCCATAGACCCCCATGTTAAAATGCCTAACTTAACAGCAGAAATAAAAAAAACTTTACAGCCTGGTACAAAAACAGTTTTATGGTATATGGCTATAGCTAATTTCAACAAGCCTGGTGAGACCATCCTGATGACATGAGCTCAACATTCTGTGTCATTCTCTGTATGTCTGGACTCGCTGCCACCCAAACACTTTCAGTGGGCCAGAGCCCACACCCTGACAGTGTGACAAAATATCGGGGAACATCTTCATCACCAACAGAGCCAGTTGATAAATCAAGCTTTGGCAAAATCCAGTTGGAGGAATGGCAAATTACATCTTATCTTCAGAGAAACTAGCAGTAATTGTTGCTATTGACTCCATTTCTGCTGTAACTTAACTGGTGTGTTTACTGTAGTAATAGAGTTGGCGCTCGTTGCTTTGAGCTGCCATTATGGTTCTGCAAGCTGCGGCCTGCATTTTACGCCATGAACTACAATGTAGTCCCTGACTGGCTGCTTAATTTGTCAACAACAGTGTGGATCCATGATTGGACCCGACTGAATTTTGATTTCTGGAAATTGAAAGAGTGAAACAGAATGTTAAGCTAACATCATCAGGTTGGTCACACCAGGCTAAATTTCATCACTCATGACATCTGTACATTTTATTAAGGCTCTGCGTTATGCAAAATTAAGGGCGGGCCGCATTGAGTGACAGACTGTCAGTCTGTTGATAGTAGCCTCGCGTCACCAGGCTCTTGAAGCGAAGAGCCTGGTGTCTATTCACTCTGAATTTTGTCTGGATTCTGGTTCCGGTCTAGGGAGTGGATGCGGTATTCACCAAATTCACCAAACTCAAAGTGTTCACCACAGTAAAACTTTAAATTCTGGCGCACCATCGATTTGGGGTGATGAGGGGTGTAAGAAAATCGATTAACTTAATGGCTTGGGGCGTTTCTTGTAAATTATATTCTTTAAATTAAAAGTTTCACCGCATTTTTATTAGCTTGGTGCTTTTATTTTTACAGAAAGGCACATCCATCGAATTCCGGATCCTGTCTCACTCGCCCTGGTTCCGTTTCCTTACCAAAACGGCCACTAACAGCCCCAGACTAGTTGATAGTGTCCTTGGCCTCTCTCTCAGATCCACCCCTCGCTCCTCCGCGCCAGCCTCTTACCTAAATATGGTCACTTCAAAAAACCAAGATGGCGACGGCCAAAATGCAGGACTCAAGACTTCAAAATGGGAGTCCAAAAACCAATGCGTGACGTCACGGTAGCTAAGTCCATTATTTTTAGTCTATGCAGGAAACTCAGGAGTAAAGTAGGATACTCAGTTAAGAAAAATGATGTAGTCTGGATATGTTCATGGCCTTACAGATGGAGGCTTTAAACCCTTCTTCACAGTTACAACACAGTTCACAGTTAAAGAAATCATAATAACAAGACTTGGTGTTCAAATAAATTTAATGACAGCAAAAAGAGTAGTGTGCTACACATCTCAGTTGTTTCAATAAACAAATGCAAAAAGCTTAATATTTACAGAAAGTCAGAGCTTGATTTCAGCAAAACCTACTTAGCAGCTCGATATTTACAGGTCTACACATTTTAACTCTGCGACAACTGTGTTCTGGACTCTATTTTTTGTAATCCAACATATGCTCAGTGTGACATCCAATAAATGTATAACACACAGAGAAAAGCAATGACATTATAAAGTAAAAAAAATATTCTAATCTTTGGGTAGCAGTAAAAAGGCAGTGAAAAGGTTAAGTAATAAAATATTAAATTTAGCACAAAACATTCATATTTGGCTACTCAACATGTCCTCGTCTTATTCAAGCACTCAAAAAGGAAACAGCACACTAATCAAGCAAATAACAATCCAAATATTCTATGCTGTGTTCGACTATGATTAAATTAGAATTGCACCCTAATTAGTTATAAGATAAGTCATGATAGAAAAAAATGCCCCGACTCTCAAAAAGATGCATAGTTCCACACGGCGGTCCCTTCACTGCTCCACAAAGTCTTGCTGCATGTTTTCAAAAAGATAGTTCCTTCATATGTTCAGCGTCTTAAGGCTTCCTGCGTCTAGAAGGCAGAAAACAAAAAAAGCCCAAATTTTAAATCCAAGGTAACAGCTTCAATCATGTAGCCTATATAACACGGTAAATGGAGCATACACACATCAACACACACATGCTTTTATTTGCTTACTTTGGATACCCGAGGACTGTACTTGTGTTTGCCACCGGAGCCTGATGGGAGGAAATTATTAGAAATTCTCATTAGATTAAAAAATGTCTTGAAAAATAATTGGCTAAAGGCCCGATTTATTGATACCTGGAGACATGTTGAAGATTATAATAAATGATACAGTAATTGTACACTTAACTGACCAGGAAGCATGAGCAAAGTTTAACAGTACTTTTATATTTTTGTTGAAATCTGAGTTTAATTAATTGAGCACTTACCCTGTTTTCTACATCCTCCATATGAGCTGGTCCTTCTCCAGACCCTGATCGCCTCTTACGACTGAAACAAAAAAGGGTATTTGTCAGTTTTTAAGACAAAAAAGGATTCGTCAGACTTGAACTTAATTTTACAAAAAGACTTAATAGAGGTATCAGAATTTGTTGACATTTATCATGTAAGACATAAAGGGTAGATTAATGAGTAACTCTATAATCTCTGAAAGTTTTAACATGGATTTAAAGGTGATTACCAACTAAATTAAGTATTTCAATATGTTATTTCTGTGGCCTGAAAGTTCAATTAATATTTGCCTGCATGAGCTACTCTCTCACAAAGCTAGAAACCAGGGAAGTGAATCTCAACTTGAGATGTTGTAGGGTACAAAGTCTGTAGCTGTACCACAGACGATGAATGAGAGCCTAATCAGTCCCTCCAGGATCTCACAGCAAAGGAACCTTGAATTTGCGGACAATTTTGTCAAAAATTGCGATAAAAATTTGGCATTTTTATGTGTTTTTTTGTGGGAAATTGCAGCAAATGACAAAAATTGCAGCTAATGACAAAAGGAGAAAAAAAAGTTGTTTTTTTTTACTACTACCACCACTAAATTGTGACGTTTCTATCTACAAGGGCAAAAAGTATCTGGCAACTAAATACATTTTTAAACTCGAATTCACTAACAAAAGTGACAATACAAATCAAATTCATATCAGATATACTTTTAACTTTATGTTCCAAGATATGATTGGACCTGCAATCATTAACTAGGTTAATAGCAGGGGTGGAACATTACTGGGATAGTTTGGATCTTTTAAAGTGGGGCTGTATGATGGAATTAGCCATAGTCAGTGTATAACATACAGTAAGTCAGCACACTCTTGGTTTGAGAAGCAGCAGGAGTACCACCACAGAAGCTAAGCTGTGGAAGGGGGTCCAGCAACAAAATGTGTGTTTGTTCCCTCAAAAAGTCCCACCTAAGACAAATCAATATCGGTTTAAATGTACGCTAAATTTAGCGTCTTTTTCACTGCTTTACTTTGCCGCCCGACAGTGATTTCCAATGGGGAACTGAAGCAGTTCTGTCTCTCTCTACAAACCCAGACTCCATTGATAAAAACAGTGATTTGACATCACTGAACACAGAAGCTGCTGGTCTACTGCTGCCTCGAACAGGTAGTTTGTTTGTGTTGTTGTGTGACTTTGGCATTTAAAAGGGTTAGTTTCAATAAAGGATTCAATAAAGTCACACAGTAACACAAACTAACTGATCGAAGCAGCAGTAGACCAGCAGCCTCTGTGTTCAGTGAGCCAAAATGACTGTTTGTGTCAATGGAGTCTAGTGACGTTGACGAGAGTATAGATGGGGAACTGAAGCCGTTAATGGCTTTCCTATCGAACGGACTGTCTGATGGAAAGGTAAAGTGGAGAATTTCCATGTCAGACTCCACCCTGCTTCTCCAAACTGGAAGCACAAAAGCTGGCATCGACTGTTGGTAATATACTGACTATAGATAAGTACTTCATACAACCCCACTTCAAAAATTCTGAACTATCCCTTTAACATCTGTTTCATGCAATTGTATTCTTGGTGATGCATCACAATATCACAACCTGTAGTGGTAAGTACTGTACCTTGATGCTGCTGCACACTCTTGTTTTAGTGTCTCAATGTCAGTGAACTGAACAGCTTGTCCTCCGCCTCTGGTCTTAAACACATTGCCCTGAAGATTTAAAAAAAAAACAAAAAACAAAACCACAAATGTCCAAAAGGAGAATACAGGAAGAGAAACACACACTCACAATCAATGACGAAAACCATAACAGTGTTCAAGTCATACATAAAACAGGACCCCAATGTGAAATCCCACAGAATGTGATTAAGTCAAATTCATGCAAAACAAAATAATCAAAAGTCTTAAATTAAGCAATTAAGTGATTTTACCTTGATCAATTTGGTCTCTATCTCCCCGTCTGAGGCAAGCTCTTGATGTCTAAGTACATACTTGTGACATTTAGACAGAGCTTTCTCGTTCGGGGTCGACACCTTGATTGCATTGGGTATGATTGGCTGCATGACAGTGTCTAGATCCAAATTAGAAGCTGGTTTGTGGTCTACCCATTTCTCCCCACCCGCAGAGTGTGAGCGCCTGTGCGTTGGATGAACTGGAGGGGCCGTCTGGTGATCCCAGTGTGAGAGAGACAAACCAGGAAGTTATTCACATGTGACACCAGCAGGGACCGTTGAAAGTTTGTCGGGGGTTAGTGGCAGGGTTGGATATTAGCATTAGCCATCAGCCACATGCTGGGAAAATATGCAAGTGGCTGCAAGATTTGTTTCACTCACCAGCCAAAAAAGACAATGGTAAGCTGGCAAGCTGAATGGTAGATTTTGGAATCCAGCAGCCACAGTGGCAGGTGGACTAAAAAGTTAATTTCCAACCCTGCTAAGTAGTGACGGTGAATCGTTAGTAAGGTGTTGAAAATAAATGTGCTACTGGAAGTCCACAAGGGACATATCATGTCCCACTAGAGATTTTTTTTATATATTAATTTTTAGATTTCAGGGGGAACAAGTGTTTCCAAGGTATTGTAGCTCATGTCCCAAACAAATGATATTCTGGCCTTCCAGTAATACACATTTCCTAAAGTAATTAAAACACACTGCATTAATAAAAATAGTCCAGCAGAGTGAAGAAGAATTAACATGCATAGCACAGGAGTGGTATGGAAATGGGTCTAGCAATTAAGGTTATATGCAAACATAATACTGATGTGGTTTGCAGGTTAGAGATGTATTATAAAGCACAGGTGACTGATGCAGGGTTTAAACATCTCTTCATTTCAATATGGCAGCTGATACAGACAAATCTTTGGCTGAGGCCAACAGTTAGCCGCTGGTTAATGTTGGGATGGTTGGTGAGTGTCAACCTAGCTTTTGCAGTATGTCCCACACCGTTGGCACCACTCGGCCCTTGGTGGCTTTTTTTCCTGCTGATTCTAGCCTGGTTCCAGACCATAGACCCCGCCCACTCAACTGAGTAGGCTTGCATTACTGGTCTGGCATACTTCAATGAATTTGCTATTTATCTTGTCCAAATGATGGACGGACCAATGAATGCCGGGGGTCTAGCGATTAGCCAATCAGCGCCACGCTGATGTCAAGCTGTACGCCGGTGGGTAACTGGTGAGGATAGCAACAATGGCGACCGCTACAGATCCTACAGACCACATTAACGATGCTATCGAGGTATTTCGCCACTACTCGCGTTAATGGAGGACCAAATTAAGGAAGCTGCTAAACTGGATTTAACGGCGATGCAGCTGGGCATGCACGACGACGGAGACATTTTAAATGGGCAATGCTCGCTTGTTTTCGGCACCCCCGAGGCATGGATACTAATGACGTCAGATTCTGGGTGAGTCGTTGATCTCTACTGATTGGTTAGGGACAAAATCAAATTCCCTCCCCCTTGTAAATCACCTTCAATGGAAGCCATGTCAGACTGAAGGTTCTGGGAGCTTCAGTCTGACACTCAGACTATGCTGATTCAGCATAAATGGCGTGAAATTACTCTAACTGGCAGTTCAGCTCAGTGCACGAGAGGAAAAATGGAAGTGAGGAAAGCAAACAAACTGCTAAAGAGATAAAAAAAAAACTTGTTATATAAGGAAAGATTTTTTGTTGTTGTTGTTGTTGTTGTTGTTGATACGCTAACTGGCTAATTAGCATCTTGAATCTGTCCATTTGGTCTTCAGGTTTCCCTTTTTGAATTATGAATACAGACTATGGAGAGTTACTTCTAGGGATGCACGATAATATCGACACATTATCCATAGTCTTTAAAATGAAGAAATCAGAATCTAAAAATCAGAATCAGCAAACGTGCTTTGTCTTAATGAATGAATATTGCATACATTGAAAAGCTTCATATTTCATGTCTCCATCTGCTGGTGGGCCATCACAACAACAGTATGTATGCATAATATGATGTTAATTCCACTACAGAAGAGACCTAAAATTAGGTCTGGAAAAAATTAGATATATCAAAATCAATTATCGGTCAAATGAGTTGTTACATATCAGATATCAGCAAAAAATCCAATATCATGCATCCCTAGTTATTTCTTCTCGTGCAGGCACGGAATGTACACGCTAGTTGACTGCTGTGTGTTCAAGTGCAACTTTTTGGCCGAGACACAGGCGGTGTGAGGGGATGCAATAGTCAGCCTTCATCGCCACCTGGTCTTTGATGTCCATTTGGTGTGTCTGGGCCCTCAGACATAAGATGGAGACTGTTTTGGTTCGAAAGAACTGAGAAGGTCAACAAGAAACTCCCCTACTACTTTGTTTCTGATTCAAAGTTCTGTGTGGCCTGCTGAGGATGGAAGATTTGATTTCAGACTGATAATCAAACTGAATTGCTGTTTTGTTTCACTTCATTATTCATCAAGGTTTTGAGAGCAAGCCAGAAGTCTGGAACCAGACTCGGTAAACTAGAATTTTATGACACAAAGCAAATCACAGGTCCAAGTCAGGCCTGGACAAACAGACCAAACAGCTGCACATCTGCACATTTGTGAAGAAGCCAAGTATCTGTAAGAACTGCAGATTATAATTTGGTGATTTGGCCCCCGTGTGTACAGTCATACCAATTCTAACTTCTAGGTCAAGTAAAGGCTGTAGTTTATTTGTACACTCACATATGTGGGCAACCGAAACCCAGCAATATGTCTTTCAATCCCATGAAGACATGAAAATAGATCCAAACTAAATGGCCACATTTTGATTGTAGCAATTGTTAAAAGTGGGACACTCAAGACATTTGTGCAAGCCAAGTACACTGAAAATCATCAGCGCTGAGTGCCACATCAAATCACTCTATAGAGAGACTAACCAAGCCTCAACACTGCAGCTGTAAGAGTCCACTGATGTTTTAGGTTTCCTTAACCCATTTTTAGGTTTGTTTTTTGACGAATACCGGGTTAATAAATATGCTACTGTCTGCATCAGTCTTGCTGCTGCTAAGTGACGGCATTTTCTTGGAGAAATGACTACTTGTGTGTGTTTATTTTAGTGATGATAGTCTGGTTTTGTCATTTTAAGTGGTGCTACTGAAATGTGTGATGATATAATACATGAAAAAGCAGTTCTAAAGAGCAGTTGGCAACAGGAAATACTACAAACTATGCACATACATGATGTAACTATTCACAAGGCTTAAGATGCAAGTCAAGAGGATTCACAAGCATAACAGATCCATCTGCCTCTGGATGAGAGAAACACCAGCCTACACCGATGCAGCACTTCTACTTCTAAACAAGCAGACATCTACTGATAACACTACAGGTGCAGCTCTACACTACGGCAAAGCTTAGACTATAGGCTCACAGACAGAAACTACACACATCCTTAAGGGCATCTACTCTTAACACACACACACACACACTAACCCTTGTGCCTGCCTCTAGGTTAAGCCCATTGACAAGAGTTGTAGCAGGGGCCTCAGTCTCTGCGACCCAACACTGGCCTCTCCTGCTGCCCACGCTGCTGGTGATGAGGCCTGAGGCAGGAGTCCGGCTCCTGTACTGGGGAGTCCCAGGGTGCCTAGCTTGGCTGCTTGAGTCTACAGGGAGCCTTTGCTCCCAATTAGAGATGCAGGAGGCTACTGAGGGAAAGGCTGAGGAGGAAGAGGAGGTGGTGGAGGTGGGGTAAGCATCCTTAACTGCCCTAACATTGGCTCGATTATGGTGGGTAGGAGTTTGGCTGCAGTCCTAAAGAGTGATGAAGGAATGGGGCCAAGCATTGTGATGTTAGGGACACCAGATGAACACAGATACAACAACAGCGTGATACAGAAAAGAAGATGTTGCGTATAAATATAAGCATATGAATCTTCATGTTTAAGACCATAACGATTACTCGCATGCAAATTTCCACATTGATTTAAGTTTCATACGAGAGTGACGAAGTGCACACTGAAGGAACAGGCAGTATGACAGAGTAAATAACTCACAGGAAGTGGCGATGGTGAGGCAGATCTCTTCTGGCCATAGTTGCGGTCTCGCTCCCTCGAAGGTCTCTCAGGCTTCTCTGGACGCTCAGTGGGAAACACGCTGCCGCTGCTGCTGCTCTCCGTCACGATGGCCTTGAGCTGCTTCAACTTTTCATCCTTCACCCACAACTTGTTCTGCATCTCCAGCTGCTTGGCGTTCACTCTCCTCTCCTGATTAGAAAACACCAGCAGGAAACAATATAAGTGGTTGATAAATTAACTGGTTGACAAGAATATTGACTTATTGTCGTTTATTAATTAGACTTTATTTAAAAAAATATTGACTAGAAACAAGTCTGCAATAACTTCAGGTATTCTTTACCTCAGGGACAGCCAAGGATCCCTAAATGCTGCTGTTATATTAGAAAAATAAACCTGTCAATCTAAAGATATGTATTCATTTTCCAGGGCATATCATGGTGCAAAACAAAGTGTCCAAGCTCATCTAGCACTATTGAGCTTGCTAATGTTACAGCTCAGCAGAGGAGGACAACATAAATGTTTACATCTCATGCTGTAACAAGCACAAGCCTCTTGTTCACAAGTAGGTATGGTCAAGCCCTCAATATATAAAACAAAAAGAGTAGGGCTACTATCAGTAATTCCACTTACACACTCCTTCTCCCACTTGAGTTTGGTGTCTGTCACCATGCCCTGCATGCGATGCTCCATGCGCCTCCTCTCTGACAGCTCTCTCTGTAGCCGCTGCTCCCGCGTCTCGAGCTCCTGCTGAAGTGAGCGTTTGTCCTGCTCATACATGCCTGTTGTCTTCTGCAGGATATCAATCTGAAAAGGAGGACCATTACAGTGAGAGAGAGGTCAAAACATTAAACATAAGTGAACTCACATTTACACTTACATTTAAAACATGTTTAAATTGCCTCAAACCAAATATAAAAAGAGCAGAATAAGAGTTTTGTAGCTGAGGGAGACACCTTGTATTCCAGCGTTTTGGATTTTTTCTCTAATCGTTCTAGCTCCGCCTTCTGGCTCATGATGACTCGGTCCCTCTCGCTCAGTTTGCTCCGTTGATCATGGAGGAACGTGTCCTTTGCACTGAGCTGACTGTCAAACTGCTGAAGCATGGACTTCAGTGTGTTGGCTGTGGGAGAAAACACATTCATGTAAGCCGTAAGCCATTTGGCTTGAAATGTAATTAAAATCTAACTTTCAAAGTTACAATATTGTTCTTTCAAAACAATAAATTCAGTGGCTGGTTCTCTATAAACCCAACAATTATTTGTAGCGTAGAAAATGGGCGTATACCAGTTTTGTTGAACTGCTCTGTCATCATATTACGGACACGCTGCCTCCTCTCCAGGACCTCAATCAGGCGGGACAACGTCTGATCATCAGCTGGGTCCACCAGCTCACAACGAGGCATGGCTGGGAGGCTTTCAATGAGCTGACTCAGCAAAGCCGGGTCATCTAGTGTGTGAATAAGTCATGAAAAGGTTCGGGTAGAATTAGTAACGTACAGTAAATACAGGTACAGACACTTAAATGTCGAGAAAATTATTATCAAAATTTAACTGCAAATGTTTCTGTTATCCCTGGTTTCATATGAGAAGAGAAAAAAAGATTACTCGCTTCTAAGCTAATTTATACAATGTAAAATAACACTGACTTGTGCTAATAACATTAGCATGTTGTATTTGTGGGAAAAATGTGTCCAGATAAAGACTAGTGTTCGTCTGTAAATACTGCAAATTATAGTGAAGCCAATTTGTGTACTTGAATCAACTAAACTTCACAGCACTTCATGGAAACCCCGCCACCAACTAGTGTTTTGGAGGTGTAACTGCAGAGTGACACAGACATCACCGCACAAGTATTAACACTCACAACGGCGTAGGCTATGGCGTAGGGTCTGTTGCCCAAGTATAAATCCCACTTAAGTATAGAGGTTAGTAGAACATGTAGTCCTATGCAGAGATAGGTTTAATGTAGGAATATGGTTACTGAAGTGAGTAAAGTTAATCTACATTTTGCTAACAGGTAAATGCAAGTATAAAGTAAAAACACAGTATTAGGTTCAGTGGTGGGTTTAAAGATTCACAGATCACATATGTGGACCTTGAAACAGAAGATCTCAACTCATTTTGACAAAAAGAAACTAAAAGATGAATAAATGAAATTAGATAAAATGTTTGTGGCAATTAAGACCTCACAAACTAAAATTTAAGACTACTTAATGACCTTTGAGCACTACTATTCATTAAGTTGAATTTTAAGACTTTAAAACCCCTACAAGGAACTTTCATTTTGAGTTGATTTTGGTGACCCTGTGGACAAAAGCGGTAGTGTTTTGCCGGAATGAAGCCTACATTTCCCATGAGCTCTAGCGCGTATTGTCGTAAAAACGCTTACCTGGCTCGCGCATGTGTTTGTTTTGGGGATGAATGAAACAACAAGACGGGAAAACTTTGCCCCCGCTCCTATCGGGGATCCCAGCTCACCTCTGCCGCGCCCCAGCTCCACCTCTCCGGCTTAAGCGCCACTGCCGCCGGGGTAAACGCAGCAGTTGGCTGGTAAGGCTGAAGGCCTGTTTGGCAAGCACTTCCACAGCTTGAGTATGGAGCGGTGCCTCGCCTCTTTATTTCTCAGCACTCGCTGGACCCTGTCAATGCCTGGCTGGTACCTGTCGTCGGCCCGGATGAGGTGTTCCAGCCCCGCGGCCCCTGCTCTCCTCGTCCACGCTGGCGCGGGGTGAATCTGCACAACCTGCGGCCTCTGTGTGTGGCTCCCCGGACAGCTAACACCATGGACCCGCCGGCTCCTGCCAGGATTGGGCTGGTAAATGCTAGGTCACTAGCAAACAAAACGTTTATCCTGAAGGATTTCCTGACTTCCTGAGGATTGGATTTTCTCTGTGTGACTGAGACATGGCTGACTGTTGGTGTGTCCAGTGCTTTCACAGAACTTTTACCTGATGATTGCTGCTATTTTAACTCCCCGCGGACGTCAGGTCAAGGAGGAGGAATAGCGACTATTTATAAGACTCACTATAAATGTAAGCAGCTAGGTAAGATGACATGTGCCGTCTGAGTACCTTAAATGGTTTTGTCCTGGAAGCGACCTGGTGCGGACCCGGAGACAGGTTCCTAAAGGTATGGATATACACTATATAGAAATAGCTTATCTTCACACCAATGGTCCTATTTGCTGTTGTACGTCACGCACAGACATCAGCAGAAACGACTGCTTTTGCATATCCAGTTAAAAGTTCCTTGTAGCGGCTTTCAAGACCTGCAGGCACCCTGTGAGCACAGTGAGTCAGTAGTACAGATCTGAGGGTGATTTACCAGCATTACTGGGACCGCCTCGCTCTTCCAGACGGCGTGACAGTTCATCCTTGAAGGCCCGGTTTCTGTGTCTGCGCCCAGCAGCAAGGCCACAGATTGGCCGGTCAACCGGTCGTGCCACCTCCACCTCCTGGGTCATCTCTGCAAAGCGCATCACCAGCTGCAGCACACACAGTGGAATACCATTAGAAATACACTCCCTGATTTGTAGAAGCGCAACTGTGAAATTTGTTGAGTTTCAAAGTGTCAGCACTAGTCTTGGAGGAAATTAGGGGGACACTGCTGGGCAAAGCAACAAAACCAGGGTTAGTGTTTTGATGGCAAACCAGCCAGCAACTGCTATAATAGTTCAGCCATGCAAAGGATGACATGATTTTCCTCTGGGAAATCAAATGAGATTAAAGAGACAAGATTTTATTATTCAAGCCATTTTGCAACACAAATACAATATCTTACCATGGTTTCGTCGTAATCATCAGCCTTTGGGTTGACACACACGATCATCCTGACTTTCCCTTCTCCATCAAAGTAGTTTTTAAACAGATGTGTAACTTTAGAGTCCCTGTAAGGCACCATCTGGAAGAAAATAGAGGCTCTGTGAAAGTGCACTTACTGGAACATTACCAATGCTAACAACAAAGATGAATAACAGGACTCTAGTAATTAAACAGAAATGGTTAAATCAAATGATGAAACAATGATGAAAAGGTCATGAAATACAAACCTTATTAGTTCCACACATCTGGTTTTCACGCAGGACCTCCATGCATGTGCGCAGTGTCATCAAGGACTGGTTAATATTGCCTGTAAATGAGACATTACTAGAGACATTTGGTGTCTGCACACTGAATTAAAAATTTAAAAAAAGCAAATGCCTCGGGTTGATTTAAGACAGAAGCTCACAGAAACCTGACCTGCTTCACGGAGGCGGTTTCCTTCTGCTCTGGTTCTGCTGGTGCGCTCGCTGCCTGCCAGGTCAACCAGACACAGCTGACTCACATTCACCTGGTTTTTATCCTGCAATTTATTAACAAGCTGTTAGCGACACCAAACATTGGCTGGGAACCTTTGTAACACATGAGGTGTATTTATTTGGGCTGCTATGTGTCACAACCTTTCTATCTTAAATTAAATATCAGAAATGATTCCCCTGCTTTCTTTGCATAATCATTCATCATTAAAAGAAACAGATAAGCCATTTAAACATTAAAAAAAACAACAACATGTAACTCTGGAGCTGCATATCACCTGTAGAATGTGGTCACCATCAGCGTCCAGTGGTGCCTGGGCCAACTTTACTGTGAACACACTGTGGGAACGACTGGATTCACGGTTCAGTTCAGTGTTGGCTATCCTCCTTTTCTTTTGCCCTGGAGACACAGCAGAGCAACTTTAATACAGTATGACATTAACAACAACCGTAACAGTAGAGTTCACCATCACTGAACGTTGCAAAATGGCACATTTCAAGTAGTTGCCTGTTTCAACTTGTGTCCTTGTGAATTTTTGGTCTGAACTGGGCTTTAAGTATTTAAGAAGAACGTTTTTTAACCACTCACCCTTCCAAAAGACTTCAAAAGCCTCCTCTGTAGATTTGACCTCAACTTCTGTGCAGCCAGCCACGTACATGTTATGATTCTGATCTTCACGGAGAATCTTAGATTGAGGCACTCTGAAACAAGTTAATGAAAGAATCAACATAATGTCATAACATAATCATGTGTCGCTTTAGTAAGACAAGCAGCAAACGCTACAAAGACACATACTTGATATTAGTGTCAACGCTAAAATAAAATACAGTCTAGGGAGATACAGGCACATTCAGGGGCACAGACACATGCACATAAAGCTTGAGCCATACAGGGACGTTATGTGTCTCCATACTGACAGTAACAGCAGGAAGCCAATCCTTTAAGCCATCAACATGACACAGAGCTAGAAAGGTACTCCTATGCTATGGACAGGGCTTTGGATTAATGGGATGGAAATGCACTGACGGCCTATGAGACAGCAGCTACAGCCAAGTTATGACTATGAATAAACAGAGTACTGCGTCATGTTCTTTCACTGGCCACATACATGAACTCATTGTTCCGTACAGGCGTGCCTCCACCCAGCCACCTAACAAAAACAAGATTTTTAAAAGTGCGTCTTGTCAACACAAAAAAATGTCTAAATGAACTTATTCAGCACATACAGTCAAAGTGTTTGTAATGCAGAAATGCATGGTTGCACCTCTACTAGAAAAACCATTTGTAGTGCACATTAGTAGCATGTAACTGTGTGGTTACAGTGGGTGTAACAAACTTTATGGACAGAGCCATCTCATACATGAAAAGCACCACAAATTATTGAGGTTATTAAATGAAGGTTGGGACATGCTCCTTGACCCCACCCCAGTGTGGCAGCAATTGAGTCATTTGGTATGTAGACCGGACTCTACTGCACATGTGTTGTACCCCAGTGATTTGATGCAATATAACACTGTCCCAGCCGTCATTAAACAGCCTTGCAAAAAACCTGGATACAAATAGGCTTTACACAGACCACCCTTCAACTTGACATTGTGTTTCAAAGAGCATACAAGGATGTGAAAAGCTGTCTCTTACTTTGGTCTGATTGGGTCAAATGGAGCATCTTCAAGGAGATCATAGATGTAGTTGTTGTAGATCTCAATGTAGGACACAAAAACGCTGTAACAGCAGTCTTCATCCACATTCTCAGATTTACATGCCTCCTCTGTGCTGATCATATCTGCAAACTCTGGGTCCGGCCTCTGCCTAATAGAATGAACCGGAAGAAAAGCAACGCCTTTATCAGCAGTCAACATGTACTTTAAATACAATTCTCTCTAAATGTATCAATGTATGTATCATAGCTACCTGGAGGACGGCGTTTTGGGCACAGACTGCTGACTGTCTCGCTTCTGTCTCTCCAGGAGAGCATCAACTTGATCCTGGATCTCCATCCCATTTTTTTCATCTGGCTTAAACACCTGATGCAGATTTGAGACAAATCAAGTCAATGTCCGACCACTCTTCAGACACGTAATACATTTTTTTTTTTTTTAGAAACCAACAACAACACTAAAGAATGAAAGTCTTACAAATCTTTTGGCCTGAAAGGGGCCGATGCTGTTGAAGAGCATATCCAGAGAACGAGGGAGGAGTCCACCTTCCCCAGGTGAGCCGGTCATGGTGAAGGTCTTACCACTTCCAGTAACACCATATGTAAATAGCAGTCCTATAAAACACAGAATATCACAATTACATAACCACTTTTACACAGAGGATTAGGGCTGATGCTGATGGTATATTATGTAAAAACTTTATGTGTGAGAGTATGTATTAACTGGACAACAATACTAATCCCAATCAGACTTCAAAGATTAATCAATTATCTTTTCTTAAAACTAATTTTCTGTTGACAAACTAATCCTTTTCAGCACTAGAGAGGACACAAAGACAATTTATGTTTATGAACAGTAAAAATCATACATGTCATGTCTCAAAAAAACCCTTAGATTCACTTACCATTCTTACAATGAATAAGGTCCTCTATCAGGGGCTTGGCAACATCCTCAAACAGCTCCATTTGAGTGGTATTAATACCAAATACTTTTTTAAAGGAGTACTGTGTCTAAAGGATGAACAGAAACAAAACATACAGTACATGTAGATCATAATGGATTAAACCAAATAGTGTCTAAGAGGGTCTCAGGTCTCTGAATGCAACTATGACCAAACCACAAAAAAAAACAAAAAAAAAAAAAACAAATATCCAACCAAATCACTGACTTAATAAAAAGCATTATTGTCATGTGACAATGTGTAACTAAGTACAAATCAGATACTTGTTGAGGTCAGTTGAAATGTATCACTGGTGGTGTCAGATTATATCAGGACGGATCAAAAGCAAGTATAGATGATCAATTTGTTTTACATGCTCACGTGAGTCGCCAAGCAGAGAGGCCTGCAACACACTTACCTCTTTGTATTCTCCATTGCGGTTGGCTTTGAGGCCATCAGGAGCATGTAGCTGGATAGTGGAGCTGCTGATCATCTCAACACAACATTCCTCATCTTCTGCTCCAAGTGGACGTATACGGCAGTATACCTATGAAGATGAATGAATAGATGAGGCCTGCTGTGGAGAGGCTATCACAGCTGAGAGATCTAATTTCAGAAAAACGTAATTTGAATGGTCTTGAAGACTTCATTAGCCTATGATGTCAGTCATAACTTCCGTGTTGTATGTTTTTGTAATCACAAGATTAGCACAATGTTAATTAAGTTTAAGATTAGTTTTTCTGTCATTTCTGTGTGACTGTGTGATATTGTTTCAGTTTCAGTAGTTACAAAGTTAACAGTGTTCACTTACTCCCACAGGATCTTTGTCTATGTTGGATGCCTTTTTGGGGCCAGGCCTCCGAGGAGTCTTCCCTTTGCTATAAGTGAAAATAAGAATTACACAATGTCTAACACAGAAAAAAATGCATGCTATATTCCATCTTATTAGACACATGACTTATGTGGTGTGGCAGTTGCTCAGTCCACAGGGACTTGGTTTGGGAACCACAGAGTCTGCGTTCACTTCCCCGTACGGACCAAGCGTGGACTGGTAGCTGAAAAAGCAACAGATCGCCTCCTGTGCCCTGCCAAGGTGCTTCTGAGCAAGGCACTGAACCCCTAAGTGTTCAGGTGTTCCTGTCCAAGGTAGCCCCCTCTCTCTGACATCTCTCCATTTGATGCATGTATAGGTCCTGTTTGTGCATGTGTGTGTATTTCAGGCTCGTGTGTATATATGACAACAGAGTGAAAGAAATTGAATTTCCACTGAGGGATTAATAAAGTATATCTTATTATTATTATTTGACCTACTGTAAGTAACTCACACTATGTGGACACATTAGTTATACCTAGCTCACACTCTGTGGTTCAGTTCATCCCCAAACTCAACACCAAACTCAACACCAAACCCAGAAAAATATTTCTTTGTGACTTGTTTCACTGTCGTCTCGAAGGGTCAGGCCGACCTGGACCAAACGTTAACGTTACATGTGTAACTTTTTTTAACAGGTATGTGGAGGGCAAACCCGTCCCCATACTTTTAGCCATGTAGTGTAAAATTCTGTAATATATAGGCCTAATAAAAAGTATGTCGCTTCACCTCATCAATCATGCTAACAAGCTAAATTAGCTCAGGTGTCACTTGCTAACGACAATTCTCAGGTTATGGTCAACAAAAACATAAACTCGACATGACAATTGCTATTTGCTACATTATTATGAATATAACCGAATTTAAACTACGTTTTTCACAGAGATACAACACAAATCAGGGACACATTAGCTGTAATGTCGGTTGAAAGGTGAGCTCATAAACCGATATTGACCTGTTGCCAGCCAGTCAACCAGCCTTAGCTAGCAGTGAGCTATGCTAACATTATGAAGCTAGTACTCCTTTTTCTACGTAACAAACGCTAGCAGGTTGCGCTAGTTAGCTAGACGGTTTCGCTAACACAATTAGTAACTGTCTATTGATAGCCGTTTATCGAACTAAATGTAAAAGGACGGTAATACTCACTTTGGTCTCTGCATTGTGTGTGTTGTTAAACTCCTCTCCTATGAACACAGAGCGCTTCTTCTCGATTTGAAAAATTCCCTCTGTGAAACGTTTTTCCGAGTGGCCGATATTTCAACCAATCACAGAGCAGATACGGCGGTCAGCACCGGAAGTCCCGCCTACAGCACGTCCCCCCTGTTGCGTGACTATAAATAGCCGAATTATCTTATGTAATAGATAGTATTTGTATTTGACCTGTTTTTATACCGCGGCGCATGTTTCAGAATTATTTGCTATTTCTTATTTTGTGATTTTGCTCATTATGTGGTCTAAACAAATAAACTATATTTAATTTTAGGGTGAAATAACTCAAGGTAGTCTGATATAGCAGTAGTATCCACTACATATAATGCTAGAATTTGGAAGCTATTCGGATATTTCAATTAGTCCTTGGCTATTATTTGGTTTTATCCATACATAAATATTATTTATGAATACTGGTCAAGTTGTTATGGTGTACAATAGGCAGGAATGTTATCTTATTAATTTTAATGTTTATTATTTTCATCAAATTGTACATAAAAATGAAATGGTCAGAATCAAAACCTACATTTATTCACTTATACATATACATTTTCCTGTATCACTTTAAAATGTGACACAGTTTCATGGCACAACAAAAATCAAATGTACATTTGTAATTTTAAGTATTATAATTACACAAAATTTGTTTCAGTTGTTATTACCTGACATGCTGAGGCCTCAATAGTCAAAATGTGGAACATCTCAGTTCATACTCAGTTTCTGTACCCCTACATTCACCTTTGGGGTACCCCACCTATAAATGGGTGTCTCCCACCTTATCTCTCCCCTTTTGCTGTTGTACTCCATTGGAGAGGGGCTCAAGTTATATGGTTGTAGTTGATGGAGGATTTTGTCTTTACCTTTTGCTGCCAGTTGTCAGGAATAAACAGAGATTGCCTCCACAGATATCCACAGTCTGGGCCTCTTCATATCAACACAACACAGACAACACTAGTGTCCACAGGTTCACTTTCTGTTACTATTTTTCTAAGTTCTGATACACTGACATTAGAATGACACACAGGCATGTTTTGTTGATAGTTTATTTGAAAAATCATAATAAATAACATTGCACATAAATACTTTATCTTTGGCATGTCTCACAGGGTTACAGGGACGGACACAGCAATCATATAAGGGAAATAAACTACTCTGAAAACATTTACTCTGTCTTACATATATCTTATGTAACATTAACTAAACTTTTAATTATTTAGTTGCTGCTCTGCAGGCAGCTCAAACTCAAGAGCAAAACATCTTTCTTCCCTTGTCATGACTGTCTCTTTAGTCTTGACATGTTTTATAAGAGTGACAGTAGTATACAATGGACTCTGTATAAGCACAGGCACTATAAATATGAAAAGGCACGAAGTGTTAATGCAGCACTACAATTGAAAATTGAAAGTGAAATCTGCATTTTTAAATTTACATAATTTTTGTTCTTTGCAGCTGACAGTCTCTTCATACTCCACGTGTGGAAATCAGAAAACTGAGCAAATCAGTACAGACACACAGAACTGCCTCATAATGTAGCTAACATGCTACATTCATAGCTTTTTTCAGTACGAAAGAGTTTCCTCAGAAACATTTACATTCATTACATATTATGGTAACGAGCATTTTGTTTAATGTCCATTATATGGTCATGCAACATGCAACCTGATTTTCATTTTCGCTCACATGTAACAGCAGTCGTCACAGTGATGTCTGAAGGCCGAGCACCACCTTGAGTTCAGTGCAGACTACTTGATAGCATTCAGTCTCCTTGTAATTCAGGAGGGTTCTTAAAATGTTTGAAAGATGGAATCACCTCTTATATTGATGTTGTTTTTCCTAATAATAACCGTTTTAAAGGTCTAGTGTGTAGGAGTTGGCAGAAATAGAATATAATATTAAAAACAATGTTTTTTATTAGTTTATGATCACCTGAAATTAGGAATGGATGTGTTTTTTCTTAACCTTAGAATGAGCCGTATATATCTACACGTGGAGCGGGTCCTCTTCAGAGATGTATACTAGATACCGGACGCCAAGATGGCATCTCATATTGTCAGTCATTTCAATTAAATATCACAATGTAAAATGTGTGTTTTCTCCTTTAAAAAGCAAAACCGACAAAGAGACAGCAACGCCTTAAGCGAAGATCTCGAGTGCACAGCTACTAACCAACGTGGTTTGTTTACATGTCGTTACAGAAGTGCATATTTAACAGATTCAGTGCGGACAGAGAGGTACTAGCTTGCTTTTAGGACATTGTGTTAGGCCTACATATCTGCAGAGGGAAATATTTTTACTGGACATCATGACCAAAGAGATATAAATCTATCAGACTTCAACAGATAGGTCGACCTGCCTGACCTGCGGGTCAACCCACAGGACCCACAGGCTGTAATGTTGACCTGTGCGTCACTACTGATCAACGGTCCTGGAGACCTGATCCACCTTTACAGAGTCTACCATGGTGTTCTATAGTGGCCCAGAATGGACAAATCAAACACTGGCTCTTGAGTTCTGCATCCTCACCACTAGATGCCACTAAATCCGACACACTAGACCTTTAACGGACATTAAAAAACTGAGATTCAGACCAAATGAATCTTTTTTTTTAAATTATTGTTATTTGAAATCGTTTTAACCTCAAAGAAGAAGAATTCTATGATTTAGTGTACGTCCCCACAGTGTTGCATGACAGGGGAGAATACTGTTGTAACTTGGATTTTGAATTTGTTTTCAAGTCCAAAAGAATTTAAGTGACCTCCGATCATTATTGAACCACATTGGTGAAACTGGGCTTTAAAAATATTTTCCATAATATGTTCACCTGACACCTTCTGATCCAGGTCCAACAGTGCTAACCCGACACTAACCTTCTTCTTCTACTGTGTAGTTTGAAGAACAGCTTTGTGAAAGGGACACTGCTGTTAATTCCAGCTTGTTAAAGGCATTATTGTGCACTTGACACTGAAACAGGAACCTGTTACGATTTACACTAAGCTTCCAGCTTCTTTTTCTTCTTATTGGTGATTTTTTCTAATCTTGTTGAACTGTTACTCAGAGGTATCTTTGTCTCTGTCTGCCCTTTCAATTGTCAGTCTGGTTGAACCACTTTATGGCTTTTTGTTCTCCAGTACAAACCCCCCATACAAAATAAGATCTATTTGTAAAAAGAGACTTTCTACAAAATAGGGAAGTCCTGTCAGTCATCTGACTGTTCTCAATCAAGATTTTGTGGCAGGAATTGTACATATATCACCCATAATGCCCTCTGTTCACATGTCTCCAGCATGTTAGTTGTGCTCCCTCAGCCCTGACTTATGAAGCCGGAGGTTTAGTAGCAGGGGCAGACCTTGGCTGAGGCTTTCTTTGGATCTTTATCATGTTTCTTCTCTTGGCAGACTGGAGCAGAGAGCAGAGGTAAACTGTACAGTAGGATGATAATCAGATTCACCACCACACAAAGCAGCGCTACACCCAGTGAGTTGGCAACGGTGATGGGGATGGAGTGTTCAAGGAGCCAGGGGCGCCGTGTCACCATGTCCTGCTCAGCAGCCTTCATCTGGAAGTGGGTGCCGAGGATGCCACACACATGGAAGAGTTGATGGCTGTGACCTGCAGAGGGAGCAGTCGAGTCATGTTTGAGTTCAGGCAGCACAGCGACATGTCACAGTAGAAACAGTAGCGGTAAATACAAGCCCTCACCACTGAGTGAATGAGTCACATTGCCAACTGATTTCAACAGGATGAAGAAAACATGGAGGTGGTTATGCATTAATATTGTTTCGCAATGTTAAACACAAATGAGGATACACTGAATGAGTTAATGTGAATCCAGTGTTTCACAGAGTTATTTATAGTGGACAAAGATCTGAAAGGTGACATTTGATCTCTGCGTTCATAAGCTGACTTCCTGATCAAGACACCGATTCCTCCAATACTCTAGGTGCACATGAATGCATCCTAATGGCAAACCTTTCACTGCATCCACTTTTTAGATTTGTGACTTACTTTTAAAAAACGCTTCAAGTTTAAATCACACATTTTTATGTAACCATACTGATGTAATCCCAGTCATCTTTGACTGTTGAAAGTTTCTCCCATTTTTTTCTTAAATGGCTTTGAGAACAGTTTCCTTGCATATAACGAGGGTCTGAGGTTGGTGCTGAGTCACCAGTGATGTCAAACCCTGCATTCATGTCAGAGTAGTGTCAGAGTAAAGTTAGAAATGAGTTACCTTTACCTGCTACCTTTAGTTGCTCTCTGTGTCGTGTGACCTAAATTAGCTTGAAAAGTTGTTCATTAACATTAGTAAGGTAAATAACTATTTCAGTCGTTTGAGGTGATGTACTGGTGCAGCAAGAAGTCTGGGACTTGTAATACAAAGCTTCACACCATGATCAATGCGTTGTTTAAATGCCCTGAGCAGTAAAATACAACACTTCATCTCTGTAGCATCCATGTTGCTTCCACATTACAACTCAAAGTTCACAAACACACCAAAGTCAGAAGAATGACTTGCCAACTTAGGATATGGGAACCATCCGAGGAGCATGTGAATACAGCATTAGTCTCTGTCTAACATGCTCTTCTGAATCTTGTGCGTTGCTCTGATCTCATGTTTTAAATAGTGTGATCCCCTTTGACTTCATTTGTTAAGAATTTCTGTTTTTGGATGCTTTGTTTACTGGAGGCATGAAAAAAAAAAAAAAAAGTTGAAGCCCCATTACTCCGAAAAATATCCAACTGGATTGAAAGCCCATTTCCTTGACAGCCGGTTATCCTAAAAACAAAGACCCATTGCTTCAAAGTCCTGTTCCTCCAAAAATACACACTCCTTACAGTTACTTTCAGTTTCCAAGTGGTGTTTGGGCACTTTTGTGCCACCTAATGTGGGTGTTTAAGCCAAAACATGATCTTTTCCTGATCATAACCAAGTGGTTTTTGTGCCTAAACACAACCACACATTCACCGCAGCATTGATAATAAATATAATGTGTCTGAGGTTTACAGAAATGTACAATGTTA